AATAACATTGTTTTAATATTGCAACACATTGGAAAGACCACACATCCTAACTCTCATTGCTTCAGAGAAGGAGAAAATTTTTAAAAATTTTTTTTAATTTTTTAAAGGGTGGTAACCCTGTGTTACCACCAGCTAGGACCTTTGTGTTCCATGTGTAATAGAACAATTTCAATTCAGATGCTCAAAAATTTTTTAATTTAGCACGGCAATGGGAATGCATCTTTCAACACCCTTCAAATTTCATTTTTTAGGCAACAGTTTGGAATCTTTTACTTGGAAAAATCAGAGTTCTTGAAACAGAAACTCTGTTGTGCTCTTTCTCAATTTTATTTAATGATAGCATAATTTAGACAGGCAATAGGACATCATGACACCTCTCTTTGGGTCTTAAAAAGTCTTGGTAATATTTATCTCCACAGTCACCTGATTTAGTACCTCTGTCAAGCTACCTAACTAGGGAATTGGTACCACAGTTTTTCTACCAGGTTAGAGAGGACTTATGCTCCAGCATCCGTGTTATAGCAGGATGCTGAGCCACCCTCATGCTCATTCTACCCACCTACTATTCATTGTTACTTAAATCTTCATAAATGTTCAGGGCTTACTAATGAGGTGCTGTGGATAAGACAGAGAAGTTCCTTTATTAAGTGAGCTTCATAAAAATGATCTTCAAAAGCCACTGACTTGGAGGTTGAGCATATATCACAAAAATGATGGGTGGTATTTTATACCAAAAAAAAAAAAGAACTTGTCAGTGTTAGTGGGAATTCAATATTTTCTTACAGAGCGTCTCAGGTCTTCTATATAGACCAGTCACAGAGCTTTGATTTCACCTTTTTATGAGACAATATAATTTGTCTCAGAGAAGCAAGCACTTTGGAGCTGGCAAATCTGGGTTCTATTTTTGCCATCTATTAGCTATGAGATCTGGGTCTTAATTTAATTTCCATTGAAAATGGGCATGAAACCTAGTTCTTGATTCTATTGCAAAATTTGAAAGAGAAAAGTCATGGGGGCCTTCCAGATAGATAGAATTCAATCCATGGTATCCATCATTCAAAAAGACATTGATCAACGGTCTTTTGTGTGCCAACCCTGAGCTGACAATGATAGATGAAGAAACCCAATACCTTGCTCTGCAAGCACACACGACTTTATAGGAGAAACAGGCATGGAAGTAAATCTTAGTGATTCACAGCCCTGGGTGCTGTTATGGGTATGTAGAAAAATGAGATGGCAGCACAGAGCAGTATGTTTTAGCTGTGATTTCCTCCATTGGTTCTTTCTCCAGTAGTTCCCAAAATTCCATCTGACTGGCCTATCTTCCTGAGGAGGTAAAAGAGCCAAGCAATGGTTACCTGTAATTTCTTAGTGATGGGAACTCTACAGCACATTGTCTAGCCAGTAATATGGAAAGGATAGAACCTATTTGGTCCGAAGGGGAGGATGTTGGTGTTCTTTAAAATACCAGTTGTAATCACCGTCAGGTAGCTCCAAACATCCATTGCAAGTATCCCTCCTGCAAGTATGGCTTGGACATTACTATTGTATTTGGGAAAAACAAAAATTCACTTGTCTGCACAGGTGTTGACTATATTTATCTTAGTTAACTGTATTTGTGTTAGAATAGAGTAAAAGGATAATTACATTTTGGAAAAGGCTCTATTTGTTCCAAATTTACATGCTAGGAGAAACTGGCTAACCTTGCATGTGTAATATAAAAGGAGTCAACTTCTCTGAGCACCTCATGGTACCATTCGCATGTACTTTGTCACTAAAACTTCAAAGGGGATATTATTGGAATAGAGTAGAATTATAAAGTAATTAGTTGTAAGGTAATGATAAGTGAGACTACTGAATAATTCTTTGTTTTAATTTTTGGGATGAATTAATAGTGAGAAAGCTATCAGAAATTACAGTTACTTGTTAATCTTGGTTAGTGAACATCATTGATCTTTGCCTAAGTGGTACTATCTAGACTAGTGGAAGATAAATGGTAAAGGAAGGATTAGACATTTTGCATAAAAGATATACAATTAGCCAATAATTGTATATAGAAAAAAAGGTCATTCTTGCTAATAAAGAAATGCTCATTATGAATCTGAAGCATCATTTATCATCTATTAAATTGTTAGGGTGTTTTCAAAGTTATAATGTCAGTGCTTATAAGACTGTGGGAAAACTGGTACAGATATACATTTTTGAAAGCAATAAAATGGTACAAAGCTTTTGAAAAGTACTTAGTAACATAAATTAAGAACCTAATAAATGTCTCCATTTTGAGAAATGCATCTAGAAGGAATTGTAGAATAAGACAAAATTAATCGATGTCAACGGGTTCATTGCAGCACTGTTTATAATATTATAAATGTCACCTAAATATCCAACTGTCAAAGGATGGTTAAGTAATTATATCTTCACAGGAAGTAACATTATATAACACCAAAATAATAATTATGGAGATCCCATTAGAAATACTTACATTGTAATGTTAGGAAAAGCACAGAATATGAAGCTACATATGTTTCCGTATACATATAAAACTATGTGAAATACATATGGACATGTAGAGAGTCAGTAAGATAGAATGGAAAGTACACACACTTGGCAATCAGATAGGCTTCAGTTTCGATTTTGGCTCGACATTTGAAAGCTGCTGATTTCTGAAAATTATTTTAACTTCTGTATGTTTTGCTTTTTTATATATGGGAATACTCATATCTACCTTGTAGGACTCCTACAAGAACTACATTAGATAACTCTAAAATGTAAGAGAAGGTAATGGAACTATGGGTGATTTTTTTTTAATTTCTCATTTTTATTTCCAGTAATTTTATAATGTATTAATAATAGAAAATATATTTTAATTTGATTTTTATCACTAAAGTTATACCCAAAAATATGCACCTTGTGGCACTGATCGTATGACTAACTGAAGTAGTCTAAATACAGTAATTATTCTTATTTGGTACTAAACATCTCAAAGTACACATTCTGCTAAATCATGTTGGTTTATTTTTTTTTATTATTTTTTTATTTTTTTATTTTTTGAGACAGAGTCTTGCTGTGTCGCCAGGTGCCAGGCTGGAGTGCAGTGGTGTTATCTTGGCTCACTGCAACCTCCACTTCCCAGGTTCAAGCAATTATCCTGCCTCAGCCTCCTGAGTACCTGGGACTACAGGCACACGCCACCATGCCCAGCTAATTTTTATATTTTTAGTAGAGACGGGGTTTCACCATGTTGGCCAGGATGGCCTCGATCTCTTGACCTCATGATCCACCCACCTGGACCTCCCAAATTGCTGGGATTACAGGTGTAAGCCACCACACCCGGCCTGGTTTATTTATTTAACAAACACTTACATAGGTTTAACATGTGATAGCCATTGTTCTAAACACTGTATTCATTTAATACTTATAATAACCCTGTGAGGAAAATGCTGTTACTATCCTAATCTTGTAAGATGAGAAGCTGACATACAGAGAGATTTAAGTAATCTACACAAGTTTGCATCAGTATATGTAGTTGAGCCAGGCAGTCTGGCTACATGGTCCAAGTCCTGAATGCTATGATGCTTTTCAACTAGTCAATTAAAAACATGATCAGTGAATATCTGTGGTGCTTGACGCTATGAGGGATACCAGGAAATGCAATCTTTAACTTGAAGAGGCACAGTTTTTAAGTTGAATATCCTTCTCTAGGTTTCAGCTGTGATCTCCAAATTCTGTGCCTTCAACTTTAGACAGATATTATCTACATGTCACAGGAAAGCATCTCTTCTCACCTGTGGTGACCAAGGTTCTGAATGAAAGTCTCTGCAGCCTACATCTTGATTCTCTGTGGCAATGTCAGTGTTTGCCATATATGTGCTGAGAAATCCTAGAGCTTTGCAAAGGTGCCTAATGTTCTGCAAACATTTGACTCAGGTTTCTTTTTATACGTATATGTATATATATACATGTTCCTATATTTTGTGTATATGTAATTAGTATTTCAACCAAAATATTTAACTAATACTATAAAATTAGACATTGAATAAAGTTTGGCTGTTGAATTACTATTATTGTGCTTATCTCAGGTGAAAGATTTTCTTGAAATCTCTTTCTAGTTAAAGAATATTCTAAGATTGCAAGACAAATTCTCACAAATGTGAAAAATTGTTATAAGAATTTAAAATGACTGTAGAATCAAACAGTTTAGATGCCATTTCAAGCACAGGAATTTACCATGTGACTCTGAGCAACTTTCTGATTCTCTCTGTATCTCAATTTCTTCATCTGTTAAATGGGACATACCTCATAAAGTTATGAGAAATAAAAGACATAAAAATATAAAAACACTTAGGAAAGTGACTCAGCCAATTTAAGACCTCAGTAAATGTTAGATATTATCATTTTATTTCTATTACCTATCTGCAAAATCAGTCTTTTCTTGTTACATATAAACAAAATATAGAATTACATTAAATTTGAAGACTGATGGGCAACTGAAAGCCCCATTTTTCAAGTTTTGTGTTCATCAAATAGTTCAATTGTTATTGATTAATTTTACAAATAAGTGTTACAAATTTGAACTAATACATACATCTATACTAATTTAATACTACTCTGACTTACAGATTAGGTTATGCGTAAAATTTTGTTAAAAAAATTCTGCAGCTTAAAAAAATACATTGCATCATAAAGAAATGTATATTTTTATGCTCTACGTTATCTCATTCCAAGAGCAAAAAATTACCTTTTCCAAATACGTGTGTTCATTTTAATATCTACCCATCATTCAGAGCTTACATTTGAATAATATACATTAAAATCAAATTATAAAAAAAATTAACTATTATCTGGTAGAGTGCTATATTTTGGTGGAGGGTTCTACTTATCACCAAAGATTTCATCTCTACTGTATTTCTTTAAAGATTGATTCTTTGCAATAGGACTGATTAAAATGTTCAAAAACATTTTAAATAAATGATCTGTGTTTCTTCTGTCTTTTCTTGCAGTCATTCCCAACATAGCACCGCAACTCGTCAGCCTTCAGTGACTCTCCAACGGGCCATCTCCCTGGAAGGGTAAGATAATAATACAGAACCTCTTAAACTGTGAAGCCTTGGAATTAGTCTTTCTTTCTCTCTCTGTCTCTTTCTCTCTTTCTTTCTTTTTCTCTCTTTCTTTCTTTCTCTTTCTCTCTCTGTCTCTTTTCTTTCTCTTTCTTTCTTTCCTTCCCTCCCTTCCCACTCTTTGTCTCTCTCTCTCACACATTCACTCAAATATCTAGGAAACTCATGTTATGTGCCAAGCACTGTGCTAGGTACTAGATTTAATAAGTCAGATAAGATTTCTTCTTTCCCTTTTACGGTGTAAGCGTTACACTGTATAGGAGATATGCATAAGGGATTAATGGAGAATCCAGGAGGGATACCTAGCTATAAATGGGCATCTAAAGGGGACTAGGAAAAGGTCAGGTTGGTTCCCAAAAATATGTAACTCTTGAGCTGAGGACTGAAGCATATATGGATATTTGCCCAACAGTACAAATTCACAAGTGTTCTTTCAAGGAAAGAAAAAAACCTAACATTTACATATCTATTTATCTACCAACCAACTGTTGCATGAGTCCATTTTCATGCTGCTGATAAAGATATACCCAAGCCTGGGCAATTTACAAAAGAAAGAGGTTTAATGGACTTACAGTTCTGTGTGACTAGGGAGACCTCACAATTATGGTGGATGACAAAAGGCACTCCTTACATGGCAGCAAAAGAGAGAATGAGAAAACCATCACATCTTCTGAGACTTATTCTCTACCATGAGAACAGTATGGGAGAAACCGTCCCCATGATTCAGTTATCTCCTACCAGGTCTCTCCCACAGCACATGGGAATTATAGGCATACAATTCAAGGTGAGATTTGGGTGGGGACACAGAGCCAAACATATCACCTGTCTTACCCAATTTTATTTCTAAAGTACTCCTAGAAGATAGGTGTCTTTTTTTCTGAACCTTGATTCTCAGAGAGGTTAAGTAATTTTCCCAAGTGTACTTGTATAGAAAGTAGGATAGCCTGGATTTGAAAGCAGGCCTGACTCCATTGTGTGGCTCTGTCCCCTATAATGTGGTACGAAAAGTCTTTATTGAGGTGGAAAGCGCTGGTTGTACAATTCATAAACCACAATCAGGCCAAATTAGATATCATGTAGAATTTCCTAGTGTGAAAAAAAAAATGGTGTAGAATTAGAATGACTCTAACCTTAAAAAACATTAAATAGAATCAATAACCTGCTGTATGGGATGGTTCTGGAAGTCCATGTGCATATTAATTGGCTGAGGTGTTGTTTGCAGTAGAGGGAATGGTACGGGGATGAATTTTACCACTATCTCTACCTTACTTCATAATTCCTTTTGAAGACTTCTTTTGGCAGGACTCAGGGTGGCCATCATTTCACATTTTGGCCATCAGCATAAAGAAGGCTTCATCCAGCTATGATAAATAATGGCATTTCCTTCTAAGGATATTTCTAAACTTTTGCTTTCTTTCTTTTTATTAGCAAAAGCTTATGAGCAATTTGCCCTAAATATTTTTTTTTCAATTTTCCACTTGAGTTAAAGAAACTCTGTGATTGACATAATCACAATTCTTGTTCTCTGTTGAAGCCAAAAATGTAAAGGCGTTATCCTAACTTTAAAACACCAGAGTGACTCATTTTATGAAAAACAGCAAACTGTATAAGATTCATAGTGATCTATTGACCCAACTAGCATAAAGTACTTTGCCTTATACCTAGTGAAGAATACAATGTATTCTATTTTCTGTAAGAATGGAAGAAAACTTATTCTAAATTCAAAGAATTTGGTTTGAATCCTGGCCTCTACTATTTGTTGTTGATCAGGGACCTTCACCTCTCTAAGCATGGGTTTCCTCAACAGCTACAAGAAAACATAGTATCAAACTCACTAATTCTTTTCTTTTTTTTTTTTTTTTTTTTTTTTACTTATTTATTTGCTTATGGTTTATTTAAGTCTGGATTCACATAAGGTCAGCTTGTGATTGGTAGATATAGCTCCTAAATTATTTTTTAATCAACAGTTCCTTTCCCTCTACTCTTCCCCCTTTTTAACCTTGCCATTCATTTATTAAAGAAATTGGGTTAACTAACTTGAATTTCCCAGTCTGGACATTGCTGACTACATTCCCATGGTGTTGTCATATTCCTCTGTCCTTTATGGTTTTGTCAATTGGTGTTAGATCTAGAGGTTTGATCCAATTTAAGATCAATCAATCAATCAATCATCTATCAATCATCTACCTATCTAGAGGTTTGATCCAATTTAGGTTCTATCTCTCTCTCTCTCTACCTGCCTACCTACTACTTACCTATCTATCTAGCTAGAGGTTTGATCCAATTTAAGTTCTATCTGTCTGTCTGTCTGTGTGTCTGTCTGCCTGCCTGCCTAATCATGTATTTTTCTTGGGAGTAGAAGGAATAATATATCATATAGAATATGTTCTTTTATCAGAGGCACGTGATATCTGGTTGTCACTCTTACTGTGATGTGACATCCATTGATGATCATTGCCTAGATCTGTTACTTCACTAAACAGCACAAAATGATGATATTCTAATTAAATCACTTCTTTTTGAGTTATTAGATGGAATGTTCTATAAAGTTTTCCCTCATCAATTGTTTTGTTATGCAGAGGAATAGTTAATGTAGCAAGTGCAGTACAAATGCTTGATTTTTGCGCTTTATTTAGGAGTTTTTAAAAGAATTAGCTGGTCTCTATAATCCTCCAAAGGGCGACAAATGAGTTCTTTTTGGTGTGTGTTGAAATATTTGATGTGCTTTAATCCATTCCAGTTAGTAGCTTTATCAGTAGCCCATCTTTGGCTAGTGGAGGCCTCTTTAAGTTGAATCTCAGACCCTTTCCCATGATGCTGTCTTTGATGGCATCCTTGATTTACAGCATGACTAGGGTTCTAGTCATCCCTTATACTTCCTGCCCCATACTTGGAACCGGTCATATTTACGATAAGTTTCAGAGATGTGATACTTAGAGACCATGATGATTTGGGTGCTGTGACATATATTTATTGAACAATGTGCCTGTGTTTGCATTTTGTTTTTCCCACTAAAATTATACCTAGGGTAATCTGTTGCTATAGGAATTTGACTAGACAGTTGAAGAGGTGACAGTTAAAGATCAAATGTCTTCCTTTTGAGCCCTGTTCAAGGTTGCTTGAACATTTGATAGGGTCCAGCTCTTTCTATTTTAAAACATTTTATTCCCACCATTTCAGTCTTTTGCTTTATTTTCAGTGTTTTCTACATTGAAATTGAAACTTCCTTTTCATTCTTTCTTTTCCTTTTTTCCCTTCAGTAGGTAACTTCCTACCCAGTGACCTTGCCTTTGGGCAAGACCTCAGGCTGTCATTGGGAAAGGAGTTTGGAAGCACAGTTGTCAGAGTGTAGTGCTGCTGGTGGTGTGTCTTGTTGGTCATCTTGCCTGTGGCTGGCCTTTCTGTTGGAAATGGATGCATGGCACCTAGCACCATGTGCTTCACTCTTCCATGTGACTAAGGAACACACTGTCTACCTCTGTGGCAGCAGAAACTTAATGGTTAGGCTGAAAAGCAAAAGCAGAGAAAGATCCTCAGAGAAAGTACAATCCTGGGTCAGATGGAAGATTCTATTCTAACTGAAGAGCTTTGAAAATGAAAAAAATGAGCAGTTTTTATTTTTTTAATTTTTTTATTTTTTTTTAAATGAGCAGTTTTTAATTACCCTGTTTTTCTTTTTTCCCTCCTATTTCTTTTAGATGCAGTCCGAACATTAAGCAATGCTGAGGACTATCTGGATGATGAAGACTCAGATTAATTCCTTTATGGAGCTTTGAGATCTAAAACTTCTGTTGCTTTTGCCATTCCAAAACTTTGTCTTTGCCAGAAGAGTGTTGGTAACTCTAAAAGAAAAGTATATATGAACACGGCAGTGTTGCGCTATGTTTGAGTAGAGAGTGTAAATGAATTGTTGTCACCTTTGGTTTGCCAATAAGTGACTGGATTCTTGGCTGTAGGAAATACAATTATGTTTACCAGAGTAGAACAAGAAGAGATTATTTCTATTTATCAAGCTAACGGAATTTTAAGAATTTTTTTCTTTAAAACAAATCAGGATTTTTTTTTTTTTTTTNCCGCCTCCTGGGTTCAGGCAATTCTCCTGCCTCAGCCTCCTGAGTAGCTGGGATTACAGGCACGCGCCACCATGCCCAGCTAATGTTTTGTAGTTTTAGTAGAGACGGGGTTTCACCCTGTTGACCAGGATGGTCTCGATCTCTTGACCTCGTGATCCACCCGCCTCGGCCTCCCAAAGTGCTGGGATTACAGGTTTGAGCCACTGCACCCGGCGAACTCACTAATTCTTAAAAATAAAAGTAGCAGATACATGTTGAACCCCCAATAAGTACTAGTTAAAAAAACACTTAGTCTAAGTGTTCTGAAAAAACAAATAAGATTTATTTTTAGAGCATAGATTAGTTTGAAGACTTACTTTGAACATTTGCTTAAATACATTTGTATGTATTTGTTTATGTAAAACACTTCTGGATATAAAATAAAATATTTGAGGTAGAAGTAGCATTAGTAATATTTAGAAGGCAAAATCTCAGTAATCCTCTCTAAAGTCCAGAACACAAAAATTCATGCTATGCCTGCCCAGCTGTTTGTCAGATGAAGAGGTAATGTGGCACATAATCATTGTGACTGAACACATAGTGGGAAAGTTATTTTTCATCTTACATAGGCCAATGGGTCTTTAGCAGGTTTCCCATTAAAGTGTTATACTGCTGAGTGTAGGCAATCAACTGAAATTGTAAATTCCATTATTTCAAAACTCTCCTTCCTAATGCTTTTGTGAAAAGCAGCTACATAGGATATTTTTTAAATGAATGTAGTTAAAAAGGCCATATGTTTATGTAATTTTCACCCAAGTTGCTATCTACTTGACATAAAATAAGTAGAGATATTTCAAATTTCCAGTTAATTTGATCCATTGAGACAACAAAACTATCTAA